GACGAGGACGAGTGCACACCAAGATTTAAGTACTAAGTCCCATGTGATATTCGATGATTACATAATCTAAGCGACTTGCTTAATATTTATTATACTATTGTAATGTGCACATTACATTCTAGTACTATATATTTATTAAGTTTATAACCTCTCAAACAGAGTTTCTAGATATTATAAACATTAATAGAACTTTTATACAAATTATAAGTATAGAAAAACCTCTTTATTATATTGTATATTAGATACAAACCTTTTTCTTCAAGTATAATACTATTACAGTGCTTTTATTCTCTATATATAACTAATAAAATGTATATACCCTTTATATAAGACTATTATAATAAATTTACCATATTATATTAATGAATAATACTCATAGAGCTTTTATAAGAGTATATAAGACTTGCTTTTACTTTATAATAGAGTTAAATACTTATAATTACAATAAAACTGATAAGTAATGTGTATTTTATTATATAAGATCTATAAAGCTATATAAGAAAACAGACTTTTTCCTGACGCGAGATGTCTACTCGACACTTTCGAAAAAGGTCGAAGTCTGAAAACCGCCACTACACGTTATTTATTCAACACAGAATTAGGTGGATATAAGGTACTACCTTAACTTGAAGCTTGTTAATGAAGGTATCCACAATTAGTAGACCAACTTGAGTGAAATGTACAGCTTGTCCAAGTTCTATACGTGCATCTGTTCTATGAATATGTACGCTATCCTTTGGGCATTCTATTATACTCTAGCCTTATACTTGCTAATTTTGACAAAGTGCTAAATTGCTTGTGTTTTATCTAATAAAAATTAGATCCATCTGCTACATTAGCTGTTAAGACGAGACTACACGAGAGTATGTCTCAGATGATATAAACTATATTACAAGCAATGATGAACGATGATGGAATACTTTCCATCATACATTCTACATTTGAGACATACCTACATAGTATATATAGACTAACTAATCAATGGACAATGAAGCAAGCTGTGAGAGAGCGAGCCGAGTCCACTATCCCTCCTCTTTGTGTGATCCCTCTAAGCCTCTCACATAACCTCTCTTCCCTTTCTTAACAGGTTATGAGCCTTGAGCTCCCTGCCTATGCTTTATCTACACTCTACTACATCTATGCTCTATGCAGTTTTACACATCACATGTATGCATGCAACATACTACAATGCAGAACTCGACTCACCTGTCTGAGTATCCCAAACGTGAATCAATATGCTACAAACGCACGATCTACTGTACTACATACAACCCAGACATTATATGATTGTCATCTTAGTGATTATGATCATTGGCCCAGTAGTAACATAATCTATGCAGGCAACATTGAAACTACAATGAGTTTCACTAACTGCAACACTTAAATGCTAAAATATTCTATAATATCACAGAGATCATGTTATAATAAATTAACTGATTATACTACAGACGAACGTTAAAAAGATTAATAAAGCAAATGCTACTCTTCTGCTATTAACATTACAATAGTACAAATGATTGACACTGTCAACGAGCACACATATGTTATAGCATAAATCAAATAATAACACATATAGTAATATTACAGCTGAACGATTAATGCTCAAAAACGAGTGTATATATGCTAAACAGCATATTAAATCAAATAAATAAAACATTTAACATGTATTATAAACAATAATACAATTGCAGACACTATAATAACAACAATAATAATGATAATAATGATAATAATACAGATAGAACTAATGGAACAAATACAGAACAATATAATAACTAACACATATTATTGTTGAGCAATTATATGTAACATATCAGATTCAGCAGTTACATGTCAGATATTGCAATTACTTATTGGATACCAAATATAATACACATATCTAAGATATACAGACGAGTACAGATATACAAAAGTATAATGAATAACTACAAACCAAAAAACAATGCTACAGAGTGTATAAACTAACTACACACAAAAGAATAATGTTATAACACATAAATACTGATTACAGTACAAGACAAGTGTAAAAATTATAATTATTAAACAAATGATACTACTTTACACATTAATATGATTGTGTAAATGTATACTAACAACAAACGAAAGAATTATATCTCTAATATACTTGAAACAACACATTAATACAACTTAATTATGTAGAACATGTTATCACAGCAGCTGATTATATAATAAATTTCGAAGTTGTAACAGTAACATTAACTGCACAGTGTATATACTTTAACAAACAATTATTAACTTTACATTGTGACAACATAGCTTGTAAGAGCAAAGTATGATGCTAATATGACTAGTACAATAAATAAAACAAATAAAACAATCATGGACACACTTATAATACTGATTACAAACGAAAACAATCATAATATAATATGATTAAATAAATTAAATGTTTAAGCCATTATCTTGGACAGTATAATATAAAATAGGTAATAACAGATGTGAGCACACTTAATAGAACTCAGCACACTTATTAAAAGCACTACATAAATAATAATTATAACATTATTAAATGAATATTATACAGAAACAAATGAATTACCATATGTTTTCAACACAAAAACAAAATATTCATTCATAGTTATGAACAATTATTAATAAAAGATAATGAGCACAAACAAAACTTGTATATTATACATAATGTGTACTTATCTACTATAATGAACAAAATACACATTATATAAGTTGACGAACGTTAATGGTAACAAAGATATAATAGTAATAACATTTAAATTACTCATTATAGAACATAACAAATGTTACACACTACTTTAAAATACTAATAATTAGAAATCAAACCATGAAAGCAATTACAATTATATATATAAATATTATATTATAACAATGATTAATAAACAATTAAAGAAATATTCAATTCTTTGAAGAAATACCTTCTTGAATTGAAGGGGAGAAAATGGATAATATGCACAAACAATTATAATATGCATGAAAAATTAATAACTAAATATAAACAATGGAACAGAAAGTATAACATTATGGACACTACAAAAAATAGAATAACAAAATACACAGACTAAGTACTGACTAAGTGATAGAAGTTACAGACAGACATAACAGATCATAAAGGTAAATCATTTGGTACAAAGCAAAACTATGTTGATTGGAACTAAATAACAGAAGTCAACACAATGTACAATTGAACTTCAACATTAAATAAATAATAATTCTACTATGAAACAAATGCTCATACTTGGCAAATAATATTAATATGATAATATAATTAACTTAACAGTGTTTAATATGAAAATAAATAATATACAGACAATTATCACATCATATAACAAAATAATTCATTAACCTAGACTATAGTTCATAGATAAAAGTGATGAATAACAAAAATAATACTTTGGAACATACATAAAACAATAAATAATATATCTATATGATAATACAAATATAATTGTAATATAATTCACAACTACAATGAACAATACACAGATAATAACTATATAAACAAGTATGGAGCACATACATATAATTAAATAAAACTATTAAATTGATTCTTGTACAAACAATTAATTTGCCCTCACTGTACAATTAATACAAGTGTGAACAGTATTATAATACTATAAAATACATTGGATAGATACTAATAGGTACATCTATACAATGATTCAAATAAAATAAATAAAACTGATATATAAAACGTTTTACCTAGCAAACCAATTAACAAATAAAACATCAAACAAATACTACAATTGTGTATAGTACTAGATTAACTAAAGAATGCTAGGAGACAATTATAGTAAACATAATCCAATATATTACTTATATGTAGATTGTGTTACAATACATTATTCTTTGCAAAAAGAAAAAGTAAAGAACAATAGCTATAACATACACATATATATACAATACTATGATCACAACAATTCACAATAACATTGTTAATGATAAATAATACGAATGCATGTTAGTAATGATTTACAACAGATAACTATGTTGGCTATTAAAGAAACAATGTAACAGATTGTATAGTTACTCAGGATGCATTAGAAACAATCAATTAACAAACATAATGTTAATAAATTAATACATAACTATAAACGATAATGTAAAGCAAACAAACAAACAATACATTTGTGATATAATACATATATGATACACTTAGACACATAGTAAGATGCCTACAGCCAGACATAACATCTATACAACAAATATACATTAGTATAAAACCTTATTGATCTCAGAATGAAGCAATCTGGCAAAAACAAATATTATTATTAATATTACAATATACAATCAATGTAAAGCTTCAATCCAAAGACATAAATCAGCTATTACTGAATGCTTAATACATATACGAATGTAGACAAACATGGACAGCAATGATTAAAGAAGGATATCATTACAACATCAAATATACATTTTACTAGCATGATTCATTAGTTTCACAGCAAAGTAAAAGGAAATTACTAGAGTACTCAAACAAACTTAATAACAAACAATATGACTGAATAACAAACAATAAAACAAAACGAGCAATTGCATTTATGATTTAAATATGTACATATACATACCTACACATGCTGACAAGATTCTGCAGGTCTCTGAAGCATTTACAAATTATTTAATAACATTTACAAACAATCTATTGTGATAACAATGCTGTTATTGAACAGTATATTACAAACGAACGAACTAATTAAATATACTTAAACAATATAACATTGGACAAACTTAACACAAAGTGGATGACATTCAGAACGGACAGTACACAGAACAGACAATGTATTACTACAATGCTAATAATGTTATTATTAACTACATCAAGTTATAAATGCATTACACAAACGAACAATTGTACAATGCAGTTATAATGATTAAACTTCTATACATACTGTAAGCAAACATCTTACAAGTCTACTAGACCTAGTAAGAGTTTGAAGGGGAGTGTTAAGACGAGACTACACAAGAGTATGTCTCAGATGATGATATAAACTACATTACAAGCAATGACGAACGATGATGGAATACTTTCCATCATACATTCTACATCTGAGACATACCTACATAGTATATATAGACTAACTAATCAACAGACAATGAAGCAAGCCGTGAGAGAGCGAGCCGAGTCCACTATCCCCCCTCTTTGTGTGATCCCTCTAAGCCTCTCACATAACCTCTCTTCCCTTTCTTAACATTAGCTTAAAGTAGACTACTAGGAACAGTGAATTGTGGACTTGAGTGGTCAGCATTTTGCATTTGACAGTTACACAAAGCATATGCTGTGTGTCACACACTACTAGTGGAAATGAAGTGGGTTGATGAAAATATTGCAAGAGTCGGTCTGAAACTCATTCATCCTCAACAAAGTGCAGCCTTGGCGCTGCTGCTTGACCTAATTTAGTTGCAGATGTGGGCTCAATATTGACACTGGCAGTAGATAGTATCATGATGAGATTTCTAATGTTACAAACAAGTCGTCTTTATATCAGAAGCTTGGTTATTTATGGATGTAGACTGGGATTAGTGTCTCAAATCACGAAGTCCCTGATTTATGGAAGCAGGATTGTTATAGCTATCGGCTTGTTTTGGTTCACTGCCCCCACGTGCTACTGTGTACTGTGGCAATTTATATCTAATTTTAATCCCATAAACTACACGTTCACCCCTGACACTCGGAACACAGTGTCCCTCGAAAGCGTGACGATGATGGGGAAGAACAGAGCATCAAAATAAAGTTTATTTATCCAGTATAACGCATTGCATACAAAGAGAGTCTAATCCAGGGTATGTAGTAATGTATGAGCCATTAGGGAATTGTGCTAAGGGTGCCCGATGTAGTCGTTGTAGTCGTTGTATTCGTCTTAGTCTGTCCCTTTCGAATGTCTACAAGCCTCACTTCCTGACCCAACACACCTTCACTCATTGTAGTTGATCTATTTGTTGCTGCATCGCGGAGATTCAGAGTCAAGCGACTACCAATGATACTGAAGCTCGCGCGGATGAAAGGCGTTAATGCGCTTGCAAGGGCTATGCGGGATGTTGGTAGGCCAATGAGAAGACATAAATTTATAAGGGCGATCCCTGGGTAACGAGACAAATCCATAAGCTGATGTACTTCAAGGAGTTGTGGAAAAAGCAATACCTAGCATGACGGCGTAATACATGAAGCCGTCCCGGATAAGGATGGTGAGTAAACGTCCCTGTGACGCCTTGTCTAGAATCATTGACAAATTCAGTATGCGTTGAAGTTTGATATATTGACTCTTGAAAGGAACGCACATGAACTGAGCGACTTCGTCAAGGTCAATATGAAGATGGTCGTATCGAATGCGATCACCGCACCCCATGCTGGAATTGAATCAGACGGTTCGACGTGAAGGGCGGCACCAGAACAGCCAAACAATTGGCGAATGCTAATTGCAATAACAGAGAATGGATCCCATTAGCACCATTGAGCGAGATAAATCATCGGAGGAACATACGTTGGATCTATGGTGACTGAGACGAGACATAAGAGTTAATACGGTGATGTCTTGTAAGAGTGCTCACAGGAGAAACCGCGAGTTATGCGGCTGAGAATAACAAGGACGATTGTATCAGCTGCCTGGACGTAAACGAATTAATTGGTGCATTGATGGCTTAGAGCACAGTGAAGTCATACCACAGCGACAGTCACTAGTATTGCAATGACCACAGGGTTTCTGCTCCACAGCGCGATTGTTCTCAAAGCTATGAGCACTGCAGTTCACGTCAATAAGACTATAGCCAAGGATATATCATCCTATGAACGCACTTTGAAGCGGGATTAGAAATATAAGAGAGCCCCTTGAAAGAGGCGAGATTTGACGATGCACAACTATACAGTAAACGAAGAAATACGCACCATATTCCGAGAATCGTTTCGAGTTTACAACTGGTAAAATTCAATTGTCAGAGCATTGCTTGTTTCGTACGTGTTGTAGTTCACTAACAACTAGCAACAGTGAGTTAGCTAATCTTCACAGGTGGCTAGCGAATCATGGCTTACTCCAATGACAGAATCAAGCTTTACAGAATCTTTGTAAAATAATCAATGAATGATACGCGGGTTAAAATCAATCTGTCCTCACATATAAACCACATAATTCCTTCGATTGCAACTGGATAACGGACAAGGAAGTATAGGATCTTCCCAAACGTCAAGTGCATCTTCCAGACAAAGTCGACCTATGTGGCATTTAGCTGATGAGGACAAGGCGGTCGCGATGTGGACGAACCTCCCTACGTCACAACGATCAGCCTTCTTCCAGAATGTCGGATCTACATGGATAGTGAATACATACCGGTCAATTGTTATCAAAATGTCGTAAAGGAGCGCCGTAACCGCAACGGCTATCTTTGATTAATATTTTGTACTGGTCCTGAGGTTGCGAACTGCTCACTATCAATATACTTTGTCAATGCCGTCAGACAGCCGTTGTAATCAAAGGACGGGACAGGACGGACGCACTTTTGATGTCTGCTGGTCTTGAACGGTTTGGTCAAGCAGCTTGAGTTGGTCCGCCAGGGACATTCCGTCGGTGTATTGGCTGAGACTCATTCTGATGACGCGTGTCGGGGCAAGAGGAGGAGGTTTCGGGACGACGTCGAGGACTACTCGTTTCTGGGTTATAAGTCGCCAAGCTGCTCGACTATAGTTATCTCAATGATTTATAATAAGTGGTGCGATCCCCCGGGGATAGATAGGAACCCCTTCTCGTTTTCCCCCTGATCAATGCTAGGTGATTGATCGGATTCGCTTCCGTTGAAGGGAACTAACCCGACGGAAATCCGTTCAGAATCTCGATTAAATTGCTATATTTGGTCATCGCAATTAGCGGATTCGGCTAACTGGTACCACGTGCGTTAGAAAGCAGTTAATCTCAAGGGACTACATCTCGGCTTTCAAGACTTTGAGCACATACTTACTTAACATTACGTGAGTCCAGTTCCGCTTCGGAGTCGTTCTACAATATAGATTAGGGTATAATCGGCGGACAAGTCTGTCTATAGCACGTTACTTACATTTCTTTTGTATCCTGTCTGTTCCATGCCGTTGCATCTCAAAGGATTCCCGGGGGATCCAGCAATCTTGTCTGTAACCACTCTCATGAGCGACAAACATAGTGCAGCGACTTTCACCTTTGGAGACACGACGTTGATAGCAGCGCCCAGAGATCCTCGACAGAGTGCTCGTTCAGGCCAAATAGTGATCGGAAACGGCTCTTGAGGCGCCACAGAACGTTCGCGAAGTTGATGCAATGTAGTTTTGTTCACATGGCGAACTGGCTATGTGAATATGAGACGAAACTATGGACGAATGTGCCTCACCGGTGATCAGTGGAGCTAGGAATAGGTCAGTTTCGATGCTGGGCGATCGGGTAAGAGGGCAATGGACTGCGATATAGCGGAGACTATGTTGATGACCTCATCAAAAGTGATAGATGGAAGACCACTTCGAGTAATACAATAGATTGACGCTCCGATCCTTTTGAGTACTTCCTCAAGTTTTTAGTCGGATATCACTTGCGCACACCGGGAGCTATATGGTTATAGCATTAGTGTTAAGTTCATACATTTAGCAGACTCGAGTCTGAACACACATACCTAGACGAAGAACAGTGTTTCATAGTATCCCTTAAGGAGAGGGCCGATTCCCAAGCAAACGCGATGGAATTTCAGAAGTCAACCTGTTACAGAGTCTTAACTTCCGGCCTGCATTGCAATCGATCATGCGCTGATACTTTCCCGCTTTGCGGAGCTGATCGCATCGTGTGTACAGCGCCATTCGGACGATAGTGAGAGTGAAACGGCGGAGCTGGGAGATAGCTATTATTGACATGTATGAATCGAGTTGACCAATATCAGATCGTAACTTCCAATGAATGTGTCGCTGTGAGAAAACGAAACCAGTCGCAAGTCGGAATCCGTATCGATAGACAAAGGTGAAACCAATGAAAATATAGCTTTTTGAAGTGAAGTGAGATAGCCAGTACATGAAAAAAGTTAATACAAATCAACTGATAGTCGTTCTCGGTAAACAAACTGTGGCCGTATACGCGGAGCTTATTATTAGTTTCCTTCGGGACGTTGATCAACGCCTATACGTAGCCAAAGTTTACCATGACTAAATTAAAGAGGAAGTCGAGGCATCAGATCATTACTTGATATGTTCCGTCGCTACTCACAGTTGATCACCACGATTGCTCCCTAAATGATGGGACTTTGCCAAGGAGGAGATCTAGAAGCGCCGGGATGGTATTTTAAGACGTACTGGGCTTCGCGTGCTGCGCTTGTGATATTGAGAGGAACGCTCCGAGAGTGTGCATGTTTGGAGACAGCTGAGGGTTGGTCGTGGAGCAAGGCACCTTATGGGAAGAACAGAACATATTACTCGATCCAGCGCAGTGCCCCAAATGATGCTCCTTGCCGGGAAAATCCACAGACAAATGAAGAACGGTGTCCAAAGATGCCGAGGTATTGTTGTATATTATAGTACAATTCATAATGGCTTGGGAACGAGCTACGTTTCCTTTCAAAAGGTGCCTTCGTCTCAGTCAATTACCTTAGCCATTGTATTGCACAGGTAACGACGAAATTCCCCGATTCAAAATTGGCTCGTGATATCCTACGTTCCAAGCATTCTACAAGTCAGTATATACGCTTGTTAATGATTGGATATATAACTTACGACCGGACACTTGTAGATGTACGCGAACATGCTCCTATTTAGGCCTGTCGCTCGAAAGATGAAATCTGCCCGAACTCAGTAGGTAACACAGAGAAGTGCCAATTCGCAGGCGTGGCGATGAAAATGCTCCGTCGATTGGATAATTTAGAAAAGTTACGAATTGTACAGGTTACACGCACTTTGACGACGGGCTGAAAGCAAGGTGCACTGGTGCAAGCAAGGACAAAGAAAGAAGGCTTATTAAGCAGACGTCCAAATGAGGATAGAAGGTCGCATGTGGTTTCGCGTGACAAAAATTTTGAATCCCTCTGCCCTTGTCTTGTCTCGTCCCGCTCGGTGTTCTGCACTCGGATTTCTACGCAATGGACGTGCGTCTATATGCACCTTATTCGTGCTCTTTCTGTGTCTAATCTCCTCCTACTGACACCCAGGCCTCATTCGTGCAAGGCCTCCACGCGCTGCTCGCGCAACTGACCACCGCAGATACCGTCAAGCTCAAGGCAGCTACCGCCCAACTTAACAAGGACTACTACAAAAACCCGGCATGCATACCAGCACTATCTAGCATACTTGCAAGTGCTCCGGAAGAGAGTGTGCGTCAACTCGCCGCTGTCGAACTTCGCAAGCGCGTATCACAAAAAAGTGGCGAGCTCTGGATTAATGTCCCTCAGGCTGAGCGTGAAGAAATTAAACGACGCCTACCCGAAATCACATTGCAGGAGCCCAGCAAGTTAGCTCGGCATGCGGAGGCACGCGTCATTGCCGCTATCGCCGGCATTGAGTTACCAGTGCAACAATGGAACGACCTTCTCCCTCTCATAAATCGGTGCTGCACATCTTCACGGGTGCAGGAACGTGAACTCGGCACGTTCCTTCTCTTCACCATCCTCGAGAATATTGTCGAAGGCTTCAGTGATCACATTACAGAACTCTTCGTTCTATTGCAGCAACTTCTTCAAGACCCAGAAAGTGCTGAAGTTCGCGTTACTGCTGTTAGATCACTCGGCGTCCTGGCTCAGTACATTGGAGCAGAAGAAAAGAACGAGATTCGCGCTTTCCAGCAGCTCCTGCCGACTATGATTACGGTGTTGCAGAATTGTCTTGAAGCAGCGGACGAAACAAGCTCACGTCATTTGTTCGATGTATTCGAGACACTCCTAATCCTTGAAGTTCCGCTATTGAGCAAGCATATCCCTCAGCTGGTCCAATTCTTCCTGCAATGCGGTGCAAATCGCTCATATGATGACGAACTGCGCATCATGGCCCTGAATGCTTTGTCATGGACCGTTAAATAGTAGGTGGCTCATGTTGCTTTGTGGCTCCCGGTCCTTACTTAAACTCGTGTAGCAAAAAGACGAAAGTGCAAGCTGCTGGTCTTGCACCCGCTATCCTAGAAGGACTCATGCCCATTACTGCTGAACCAGAGCCGGAGGATGTCGATGATGACGCACCTTCTCGTTCCGCCCTTCGTATCATTGATACGTTAGCTACTTCTCTCCCTCCTGCCCAGGTCTTCCCCGCCCTCCGCCAGCTTATCACCCAATACATGTCCCAGGCCGACGCAAATGCACGTCGTGGTGCTCTTCTTGCACTTGGTGTTGCTGTCGAGGGTGTTTCGGAATTCATGAGCCCACATGTGGAAAGTTCGATCTGGCCGATTATCGACGCTGGACTAGCAGATCCCGATCCGGGTGTCCGTCGTGCAGCATGCACTGCTGTTGGTTGCATCTGTGAATGGCTCGAAGACGTTGCTAGCGCACGACATGCCGCGTTGGTTCCTGTACTCATGCATCTCGTAGCAGATCCTGCAACACAGCGTACTGCTTGCACTGCTCTCGACGCACTGCTTGAGATCCTTGGCGATACTATTGGGACATATCTGCAGTTGCTCATGGAGACGCTTTCCGGGTTGCTCGATACTGCGCCACTGAAAGTAAAGGCAGTTGTCACAGGCGCAATTGGAAGTGCCGCACATGCAAGTCGGCAGGCTTTCCTTCCGTACTTCCCGAGTACTATGCAACGCCTCAGTCCTTTCCTTCAGCTCAGCGGCGAAGGTGAAGAATCCGAACTTCGTGGAATTGCAATGGATGCTGTTGGTACATTCGCCGAAGCTGTCGGAGTAGATGCGTTCCGTCCTTATTTCCCCGATATGATGGCACAGGCGTTTGCTGCCGTACAGTCTGATAATGCTCGACTTCGGGAATGCAGCTTCCTCTTCTTTGGAGTGATGAGCCGAGTCTTTAGCGAGGAGTTTGCACCATACCTTCCGCAAGTTGTACCAGCTCTGATCAATTCACTTGGCCAAGCCGAGCATGGCGAGACTGAAATATGTACGTGAATTCTCTCCTTTGATCCATCCGGTTTGCTGAGGTCTCGTGTAGTGAACTCGTCTGAAGCCTCGGAGCTCTTCACTACCGGCTCTTCTTCTGCGACTGCCGTTTCAGGAGATAAAACCGCGGACGGCGTTGATGTTGATGACGCAGAATCCTTGGATGCCGAGAAGATGCTCGAGGTCAACAGTGCAATCGCAGTTGAGAAGGAAATTGCTGCAGATACGCTGGGGACCGTCTTTGCATCAACGGGACGTCATTTCCTGCCATATGTCGAGCAGTCCGCGCTCGAACTCGTCGGATTGTTGCCACATTATTACGAGGGTATTCGGAAGAGCGCGACGGAGTCATTGCTTGAAATCTTGAAGACGTTTTATACTCTTAGCGATCCTGCTGATTGGCAGCCTGGTGTGCAAGTCAAGGTTCCGTTGCACTCAAATGTCAAAGATTTGATCAACCACGTTCTTCCACCCTTGCTTGACATGTATGAGACGGAGGATGATAAGTGAGTCGATGTTTGTTTTTGCACAACTTCTTTTTCTAGGAGATGAGATCATTCCATAACTCAGCTCACTTCGACGCCTTAAGGGCGCTTGAGACGAAAACGGATTTTCTTACTGATATCTTCCACGTTTCTTTTCTTGTGCCCTTTAAGTGTAGTTACTAACCGCGATTTTTTTTTCAGGGGCGTCGCTTCTGCGCTATGTGTTGGTCTGAGTGAGGCTCTAAATACTATCGGCCCCGCGTTCCTGGAAGACCGTAAGCCCCATCATAATGTTTACATACCGCGTTCCTGAGCCTTCCTTCTAGGTCTGGATGACGTTTGTGCAATTGCGATTCAAATTCTTGAGCAAAAGGCACTTTGTCAGCAAGATCCTGATCAAGAAGAGGATGACGAACCGCTCGAGGACCAAGCGGAGTACGATTCTGTGTTGATCTCCTCTGCGGGTGACCTTGTTGCGGCGCTCGCCAATACCCTTGGCGCAGATTTCGCCCAAGCATTCCAGACTTTCTTCCCGCTTATATCGAAGTTCTATGTGAGCACTGGTCCTTGACGAAAATGAATCAAATATTGACCAGTTTTCATTAATCTTGCAGAAGAAAGGGCGTTCCCTAAGCGACCGTTCGTCGTCTATTGGGACACTTGCAGAAATCATTTCAGGAATGAAAGACTCCATTACGCCTTCGACAGAGGCTCTGTTCAACCTCTTCTATCAAGCACTTCAGGATGAAGAAGCGGAGGTCTACAGTAATGCTGCCTTCGGTATTGGGCTTGTCGTCGAGTACAGTGGACAGGATCTTTCACCCCAATTTGGTCTGCTTCTTTCTACCATTCGACCGCTCTTCGAGGTCCCTCCTGATGCTCCGACGTCGAAATTCACGGCTCGGGACAATGCTGCTGGTGCAGTTGCGCGTCTTATCGTGCGCAATACCACTGCAGTCCCGCTTGAACACGTGTTACCAGTGCTCTTCGGTGCTCTTCCACTCCGGAACGATTATCTCGAAAACAGACCTGTTTTCCGTGCTATATTCCACCTGTTCCGCACGCAACCGTCTGTCCTCGGCCCTTACGTCGATCAGCTGTTACCTGTGTTTGCTCATGTGCTGGATCCTAGTGCCGCGGACCAATTGGGAGACGAAACTCGTGCGGAGTTGCTTCATCTCGTAAGTGCGCTTAAAGCGGAGAACCCGGCAAAGATACAGGCGGCGGGATTGGCAGCGTATGTTTAAAAGTGTGAAGAAATATGCCTGTTTGTTTTAGAATTGGTGTAAAGTAAAAGTTAATCGTTGTGCTCGTTTCATTTTGTTTTTCCGTTATACCTTCCTTCCCTTTACACAGGTTCTTTGTTGTCCCTCCCCAATTCGCACAGCCCCATTTCTCTCCTCCCCCACTGTTGTCGTGACTCCTGTGCATTATAAATGTCTTGTATCTCAACGCCATAAAGCTTGCGATCTTTCTTTCACGCCTTCGCCTTTCCTTGATTAAAGTCTCGTAGAGTACGGTTGTGTAAGATGTCTGCTGCCAGTGATGAACGGAAACAAAGCTGACATAAGAGGGAATCTGAGACTCCAAAGCAAGGGATGTTGTGCACGAGGTTGTACAGTGACGAAGGTGCAATATAAGTCACCTGCAGGATACCGCAAGGCAAACAGGTGCAGTTAATAATATTAATATTGCTGGGTATATATATTTAGACTTTAACACGGGTAACCAAGTAAACTCGGAAGCTCTTCCTTTCTCTTTCTTCTACTACTCACGACTACGTACATGGTTCGTCGCTAGTGGACTTGACACGTCACTTAAGAAACGAAATCGAAACGAAACGAATACTATTACTACTACGAATTGACGATGACTGCTCATTTAATTGGAACGATTCGAACGTATATTGCGCCTCCTGGGATGATTCGGTTTCCGGAGGAGAGAAAGAAACGTTGTAGGTATGTCTTACTCTCGTCCTTCCGTTTAGTTAGAGAGTATGGATGGATGGATCATGGACGTTAGTCCTTCGATTCTTCTGAGACATCTTCCTCCTTCTGCTTTCATCATTTTCACTAATTTAATCTAATTTGTTTCTATTGAAGTCTCTCGTACCAAAGGTCACTACATGGACAAATACGTCCAATACATCCTTCGTTGAGGCATCGAATTTTGTTGATATTGGATGATGTGAGGGATAGGGTGAGGTCGAGTGGTGCATCGAGGAGATGGAGCACCCAATCCGCGTATACTGCTCTTCGATAGAATTGAGTGAGACAGTAAACCTTCTTTGGGCGATTGTGTGATATCGTGCTTATGTACTCCCTTTCCTCTTATTTACTTTGGAAATTCGGTTTTAATTGTAATGGTAACAAATATTGCATGCTTGAATTACTCATTGCTTTCACTATTTATGCTTTGATGGCCTATTCATCCCGCGTGTGTATCAGCCTGATACTACTGTTTTGTAGTACCGAGTGACAGTGTGGCTAGTTCTAGTGGCTGGACTTAGCCAGGTTCTAAGTCTTTCTTGCTGCTGTCTAGAGGTGGCTTTGGTCTCCGTGGCCGAAGATTAGATGGGTGGAACGGCCACATTTCCTAGTGGCCCACTCTAATAAATAGATCCCAGCGCATACCGTGTTGCAGCGGTCTTGACGACTCTCCCTTCTTTAAACCATCTCCACTCGCGCAACTCGCTGAGTCCACCAAAAGTCATTCTTTAACTTTCTATTTTACAACCTACCATACTACCATGCCGAAGACGGTAGGCGAAGTTGTGGTCCGCGGTGCGGTCATTCCTGCGGCTTGCATTGTCTCCCTTGCGCGGAGAATTAAGTAAGTAATTTCATCCTGTACATATCTTAGCCTGTGTCTGATCCTAGCGGCATTGAACAGAGTTCATCATACGAAGAGGGCAAGGTCACGTCGCGTGAAACACTCACTTTCGCGTGTAACAATCACTCATCCACACACATACGCAGAAGAAAGCCACATGTTACCCAGCATTGTGGAAACCATCTCTGAAGCTTTGGCAAGTGAGAAGCTCAAATCCGTTCCTGACATAGTCCTTTGGGCCGGAGAACAAGCTGTTTCGGCGCGTAACCCGATGATCAAGTCCGAAGAAACTCCTGAGGATGGCAATGAGTCGCCAACTGAGACTTTGTCTCCCGACTCGTTCCAAGACGACAAGGCATCTGAAGTCACGCGCGTCCATTCAACGGAAGAGTCCTTCAGGGAGAGCGAGTCCGATTGTGATCGACCCTTATCAATCATAAATCCCAAGATCCTCTATCGGTCTAGTTCATTCAAAATGCCTAGCTCCCGCACGACGAGTGTTGCCGTCTCCATAAAGCGCGGTCGGCAATGGATGGCAACATATTATCGCAAGGCCATCTTCCGGAAGTTCGTCATTATCTGGAAACGCGTTACTGCTGATGTGCGTCGCCGCCGGGAAAATCTTCGTGGCAAAGCTGAGCGAGGCTCTAACTTACCGGGTCAATTTGAGCTCGTCAAACCGAGGAGAGTTAGTTGGTGGAGAAGGGGCTCAATTTGTAGGCGCAAGAGGCGCTCAGAAACCGCGAAGTCTTCTGTAGCTCAAAATGAATAAATGAAGAAGAAATGGACGATAGTCGCTTTTGATAAGCGAATCCCGCTGATAATACCCCGCATTCTTTGTCACTTTCAATGTCGTACATATATTGTAGCAATAGCCTATAAATATTCCAGTTAACATTACCATCACAACTTGGAAGAATACGGTAGAATGAAATGTCTGTTACTTGCTGGATTAGTATAAGATTGAAACTCAGCTGCGTTCGTGATTTCGAGGATTGTTGATCAATATCACGTTAATGCAGATGGTAGCAGTGCTGAGTGATCACATTTCCCGCATATTGCTTTAAAAGGTGTGCTTGTATGTGATAGTGGCAAAAGATGTAGGTACAAGAACCTGATGAAGTCTGGAGAAGCAGAATACCCATTGATACAGCTCCAATGAGAGGGCGCAAGTTTCCGGCGGATGACTGGGCATACACTTCGGCCTGATCCGATTTGTAGTAGACACATTGACAAATTGCGAGTGTATGTCTTCGATCTTTCAATTGCCGCGGCTGCGTCTCAGTATGAGTGTGGAGATGATGGTGGTTGTGGATGGGTCGTGACAAGCATTGCTTTCCTCCGCGCGACTCGGGATAGAGGCTGTTACGAGTTATCTCGGCAAACACTGATTTGCCTTTTATGCTCTCACATCAAACTCCGGCCAATGCAAATGAGCGATTCGGCCTCGCTCGTTACCACTTGCTTCATTCCCTCTTGTCCAAAGTGCATTGCTAGTCCCTCTCTAGATGCTCAGCTCGGAGATCTGGGTTTACTAAATCCAGATGAAAGTCACTGGTAGCGATGCTGTCCCTCAGAAACCAAGAAAAAAGCCCGGAAGGGCTCCTGTTAGTTGTGCGGAATGTCGGCGGTGAGCTACTGGCTCTGTTTCTCCTGCGCGTCTGTCCGCTTTGAAACACTCATGCTCCGTAAACTCCTCCCTTCCATGCAGGCTGAAAATGAAATGCGACCGCGGAGTGAGCATTTTGACGGAATCTTTCCTGATCCTCGACCCTTAGCAAAGCTGACTACGCGCTGATCGACCGCTCAGAACCCGTGTGAAAACTGTACGAAGCGTGGCTGCGCATTAATCTGTCCAGACGGTTGGTGACAGTTAAATACTCTGTAGTAGTTGCTGGCTTGTCTGATCGTCCTCAATTCTACTTCATAGGTACACTCACTACAGGGAAACATAACAAGTATCGTCTCAAGTACCGCAGTCATGATCTCCTTTCTGATATGCAATGCATCAGGATGATTCTGTCAAATACAGAGGAGCTACATGACAAGATTGAATCCCTCCTGGAACGAATCCGGTTGCTCGAGGATGCTCTGAGGACTCTGCAAGCATCTGTCTCCACCCAGCCTCACCCTTTACTAGCTGCTCCGACAACGGAGAGCGTCTTATCGACGATACATACTACCGCGCATCAGACTGCCCCTGCACAGCAGCGCCCGACGCCAGCCGAAGACGAAGAGGATGATATAAGTGATTCCTTCGGCACGTCTCGCCTAAAGGGTTTTGAAACGCGTTGGCCCGTCCTAACTGTTCTTAACTCTTCATAAGGTACATTGTCGATCGGATCCGACGGTGAAACAAGTTATCTAGGTCAAACTGCACGAGCTGATGTAGGTGTAAAAACTGCTTGATCGCTTAACTGAGCTGACTTTTGCTTCTTAGTATTTACTAAACGTACGGACCGTAATAAATCTATATTAATCACGAAATTGATGGATGGCTGTGTTGAGTATAGGACTCTGACAGTGATGACGAACTTGAAGCTGGCCGTCTGCCGAGTTCATTCTACAATTTCTGTTGGCCGGAGTGTCCACCTCCTGACAACTCAATTGAAGAGACTGTCCTGACCTACTTGCCTGATCAGAACGAGGCATACGCATTATCCGACGTCTACTTAAGTCTGTCGGACTGGTTGTGAGTGCTCAGCCATGGCAACCGATTTCGCAGCTCTTACGACGCCTTATTTAGAGGATTTATTGTACCTCGAGAAATGGTTCGAGAGGACTTCATTGGTATCAATTATCCTTCTTTGCTTGCATCGTATCCTGACTGATCAACCTTCTGAATAGCACACGTATACCATCTTCCCAATAGACCTTGGGCCGACACGATACCTACATGCCCCCACAGACTTGCTCTTCTGTTTTCTATATTTTCCCTCGGTGCATTGTTTGATCCTGCACAAGGTCCAAATAATGTACAATCTGATGACTACTATCATCTCGCTCGTGTAGCTCTGTCTTTCAAGTCAGCTGTACTAGAGACAACAACATACTCGGTCTTGGCTATTGTAAGTTCCAGAATAACTCCTGGGAGAATCCAGTTGAAGCTATCCCTAAGGTACATATGGCGTATATATTATTTCTTCGAGATAATCCTCAAGAACGCGAGCAAGGGTGGATGATTCTTGGAGTCGCCAACAAGTTAGCATTAAGTGTAAGTAAAGTTTTAGGCTTCGAACAATGTACTGTTATCTTGAATCTAATTGAAGGTACCTCATGTATTCAGATGGGGCTACGTAAGCAAGCACTCATTCAATCTATCGAAGGCACTACTCAGATTTGCGCCGTTTAGATCGAGATAGCTGCCGATGGAAGTTGACAGATGGAATCAGCGAGAATAGACACACAACGTTTTGGCAATTATACGTAGTTGAAACAATAGCCGTGCGTCATTTTACCTTCGATTATCGTCATGGACAGGTGATAGCATCATGCCGATCCTGCAATCCACAGAGTCTACAATTCGGGCGTCCCGCATCCCTATGCGACAGCATGATCGAATCCCCGATTCCGAAGCATATTAATTCGCAGCGAGCTATCTCTCCCGATGGACGCCCAAATTGCATGTGTCTCGTTTATTTCAGCTTGCCAACTTCTCGCATGAAAGCTAAATTTCTCATTGATAGACATCCCGTGGCTCATAGAGTTGGTGCGCTTGGCGAGACGTATAATCTCGGAAACATCTGGTGCAAAGAGAAAATCCTATTCTTCCTTCCTTGAGCTCGATTCTAAATTACGACAGCATGCGGAATATGATTTTCAGCCCTACGAATATGCAGGACAAGATGAGGATCCGACGGTTGAAAGGATGAGATGGTGCATTGATTACTGCAAGGACATTAGTAAGTCGTTTAGCGATTTCACAGTATTAATTTTGAGTTTCATGGCTCTTGTTTAATCAGTGCTATTACATGTTCACCGGGGATTCATGCTCGAAGCATTGACAGAACGTATGCAGGGTAAATCACCGAGCAAATACGACCTATCGGTACAAACTTGCTTCGATAGCTCATTTCGACTGATCGAGAACATGCTATGGATTACGGAAAAGGTGACTAACTCAGGTTGTTGGAGTGCCAATCTCGCTGAACGTTTCTAGTATCCCCATCTTTCGTCGAGGATGACCGGGTGGCATGGGACGTTAATTTCGTCAGCCGTAAGTGCAATGATAATGTTCGTTATGGCGCCGTAGTGACCATTGACATTGATTTTTAGGTCATCATGTGTGTCCTTATAATGCGGTGTCCGACATGTGAGATTGCCCGCCCTGCGATGGAAAAGCTGGATAGCGTACACGCAATTTTCCAGAAAATATCAAATCTGAATCCTGCTGCGAAGAAAAATCTGGTCAGTTATCATCCCTTAGCACCTATTTCATAGTCTGTATACTAACCTCGGTATATTAGCAAATAACCCGAAGACTCCGAACCCTAGCTCGTTCTGCGTTTGATACTCCGAGATTGACTAGCCACGGCTCGACGTCTCTTCAGACACCACATCCTGTATCTCTAGAGGAGCTATCCGCATTGGAACGTAGCTGTGGTAAAACGCAACTTCGAACAAAGAAGGAGAGGAACATCGAAGCATCCGTTCGGCGACGGCGTCGAGACGTTCGAACGACTCTGTCGCAAGGCCAGGAACAGTTGACGGAACAACAATGGGCTACCGAACGTGCAAACAAGAGTGGAGAAGCACCTGTCCCTGGCAGTTCGGGCCCATCGAGTTGGCGTGATGACTCTATGCGATTTGGATTTTCTAGTGCAGGAGATGCTGTGGGCGCACCGTTTGGGACTGGGATAGAACCATATTGGTATAGTTTTATGCAGCAAGTAGGGTTCTGAGCTATTATGCGTATTTTTTATTTTTTATTTTTTATTTTGGTAGCATCGAATAAACGTAGCATATCAAATCATCAAGCTTGAATTTGTGGACAACATTATAAAGCACTGTTAGTTTGTAGAGACTCGTAGACAACAGCAATACTATCTTTTCCAGAAGTTAAGCATGCTTGTTACGTAACTCGGGGTCAGGTATATTCACAAATGTTTGCTCGGGTGAATTCTATCACCCAGTCCAGACCATGTCAAGACATGAGCATTGTAATAATCTTACGGCTTTTGCAGCTTCTGAAGCCGCCTTCTTTGCAGGCGATCATTGAATAAGCGAGCATGCGTCCCTCCTATAGTTCGTGGGAAATTCCGACGATAGTTGATGACCCTACATTGAAATTGTATTCATAGGTCAGAAGTTCGCAAGGTTGGATACAATCGGAGGCTCGGACACGAGAAGCCGGCCCCTCCTTCTTTTCGGCTAACAGATTACCAATAGCGAAGGCGTGGTCAATGGTCATAGACTCATATTTCAGTAGCCTTTGTCTTTTCGCCTTCACCACTAACTCGTCCGAAGTTTCTCACAGAGCTTTCTTCCGGATTAAATCGATTCATGCCATCAACCCGAGTCGTGAGTTTAATTTCTATCAACCAGCCCTTAACTAAGTACTTCATTGACATGAAACAGACTCGTAGTCTAACACGACAGGGCTCTGATGACGGCCCCAAAATTTGATGCATTCGTTTTCTCCGGATTTCAGTCGTCGCTTGGCAAAAAGCCCTCTGAGCCGTTTCCCGCAAGACATTGATGGCTCATCGACATGTGTAATCTGAACCCCAGCGCGTTAACACGTTATTGATCCCGATTTGCCTTGAGCCCCTCATTATCAGTATATATATATGACTGTTCCTATAAGGTGTGCTGTCAATATTTTTTTTCTTGCTTTGAATCAGATCGACGATAATAACGACCACACCGTGTCTAGTGCTCCGCACCGTAGCGTAATTTACGGATACGCCTGCAGCGTATACGCTTATGCACCGTATCGTAAGAGAAATTTTTAGCTGAAAATACGGGCGTATATTTACGCGCGTATGCGTATACCATGAGTAAAAAATTTCCGTATACGCCGTATACGAGTATACGGTATTACTAAGCATATTCTCTAATTAAATACTAAGTTTGAGTTTCTAAACCTCATTTACTTTACTTATTTATATACCAAATCATTTTCATACTATATAACAACCTTGTTTAACTTAAAAAGTACTAGTATGAGTACTATGGTTAGTATGGTTACTACAGTACATCACATGAAGGTTTAGAGCTGTCACATGATATTAGCTCACAACACTCAACTGTCTTATTTCTGTGTGTAAACAGTACTACAATACATTTTCTTAGCTCAGTAATATCAAGCATTTGTTTTGAAAGATGATAGTGTACTTTTATGAGCTATTTTAATGTAAAGTATCTTGTTATATTTGGCACAGTGTATACACTGTATACACTGTATACAGAAGTAGTGTATTGTATATGGGTCCTGCTGACCCAGTTTACACCCGTAATTATATGCGCGTATGCGTATACGTGGGAAATTTTACGCGCGTAAGCGTATACGCTACGCGCGGAGCACTAAGGGTCCGTGTCCAGTAACAACGAGCAAGGTATAACAAGGATCACCTGATTTCTCCATTTTAAGCTCTAAATCAACTTTCTTTCTTACAATGCAATGATCACACAGGCTCAGAATTTCAAGCACAGCTAGAATATCGAGGTGAATCAGAGAGCAATATAAGTAAGAAATAAATCATTTGACAAAGGTGAGATTGCATTTTTTTTACATTGTGCTGGAAGTGGTGGCGAGTAAGGCAAGGAAAATCTTTAGGAATAGTATGTTCAGCTGCTCAGGGAGACAGTGTGGAAATCTAGAGAAACTGATAGGAAGAGCAGGAGGATGGAACTATTGCTTCATAACAAAGCTATTGGAAACGTCAGCATTGGTCCCTTTACTGGAGCCCACGTTGTCATTGTTATCCTTCTTGACAATCACATCAGGAAAATATCTCAAACTTTGTATTAGCTTATATGTATATAAATTATATATATTTTCTACATTATGTATAAGAGCTTATTGTGTACCTAGGGGTTTTAGGAAGGTAATAAGAAGCTAAGAAAGCTATTAAAAAGTCTTGAATATCTGGTCAAGAATAATAAGAATTGTAGTACTTACTAAGATATACAAGTGCTTAAAGTGCACCTCACAAAATGGCTAAGTATTATAATACTTGTTATTTTAACAAGGAAAACATATAAATATAAGATGTATAAGATAAGTTTGTCCTTATATCCATTTGTTATTGAAATAACAGTTTATAATTATATTGAAATATTGTATAAATACATTATTATCTACAACAATTACAGAAATAACCTGACGACAGATGGCGAGTGTATTG